ACTTTGTCAATTTTAATGAGTTTTTATTTCTGAATTATTATCTAATAATTTAATCTAAACATATAAATAACTTGTCAATTTTAATGAGTTTTTATTTCTGAATTATTTAGAATAAAAGAAAAAGTACAATGTGATATGCAATAATAATAATAATATTTTTTTAGAGAAATGATCATATTAATAGTAATAAATAACGAAAACAAAATTGCCATTTTTCATTATAATTTAAGAGAAAATTTAACAGAAGTGCTATTTAGTTTTTAGTTAAAAAGTAACATAATTAATTTCTGAAAATGAAAATTATAATTTATGAGTTTCATTAAGTTATGGGGACTAAATTCCCTTAAAAATTTATTTATACTAAAAGACTTTGCTTTCGCATGTAGAAATATTGGTTCTGTTCAATTTTGAAACAGACCAACGTCTACAAGATAATGCTCAAAACAAGCAAAATGAAATAGTAGAAGAGGTGAATCTTTGTAATTTTTGCAGCATTTCAAAAATGGGGTATCAACATTTACCCATGGATGCTCTGAACTATTTGCTTAACCTGTTTTTTCGAGACATAGGCCTTCCAAATGAAGGGCCTAAATACAAGTATAAATCTCAGGCTCTAAGAAGAAACAAAACAAGTACTAGTCTTGAGTACCCTTTCCTGCATTCCTGTAGAAATTATGGCACTGGTAGGACACAGCAATCAATTATTACAAAAGATGAGGAGTGATAAGAATATGAATAATACTAACCATAATGAAATATAGAAAAATAAAAAATGTGCTCAGCCCTAGGATATGATTCTGTCCAGTCATATATGCTTTGAAAGTCCACAAGCATGACAGTACACGAACAGAAAAACAGCAGAATATTTACATCTCAGAGAAAAGATTACAGTTTTCATATGCCTAACTTGATAAGTTTTGGGGACTGAAGAAGCAATTAGAAACAACAGATGGAGAAGGAACCAGAATATAGAAAAAGTTTCTGGTTGAACAGTCATTTTCTTTGTGCTTGACATTAAAAAAAAAAATCTAGAGAAAAGTATTAAAAAAATAACAGTGTAATTCATAAATTTGTTTACGAAGAATACGTGCTTTGTTTTGTAGTACTCTTAAATTTGTGACGAAACTATGATGATTCTATATTTTTATATTTCAGTAATAATTATATATCTTGTCAAAATAAAATATAAAAATGCAGGATTATATTTAAACTCTTACAAAATTATTTTATTTTAGTAAAATGAGGAGGTATTCGAAAAATACATCAATGGCTATAATCGAATGACGGGTTGTTTTATAGACAAGGACAGTTAACAACTAACTACCTTCTATTTACTTTGAAATCATGATGAGCCACATAACATAACCACCACTCTGGTTATTAAATTTATCGAATCTATAATTAATCTCTTAGTCTATCCGGATTTATCATTATCTTCACAGGCTTTTAAAATTTTAAATATTTTATTATGTTCGTGTTTTATAGACAAGGACAGTTAACAACTAACTACCTTCTATTTACTTTGAAATCATGATGAGCCACATAACATAACCACCACTCTGGTTATTAAATTTATCGAATCTATAATTAATCTCTTAGTCTATCCGGATTTATCATTATCTTCACAGGCTTTTAAAATTTTAAATATTTTATTATGTTCGTGTTTTTCCCCTGATTAATGGTATATTAACACTTGTATTGTTGGTAATTTGTATTTTTATATTAACATGCTTTAAAACATTGCAAATATTAAATATAATTCTCATTAAAGATTAAAATGATTAAAAATGTATAATATTTATTGTTTTAGTAAAATATAAAATTTTAAAGACAGAAATTAATTTGCATCAATCAAATAGAATACAATAATCAACATGGGTTAATTTGCCTAGACCTGATTCATATGATGGATTTTATCAGAACAGGTATTTCGAACTTGGTGAATTTGGCTGCTGACAAGTTCTTCAGATTTTAGCTCTACATCAACCTCCAAGTTTCCAGCTAGTGCCATGCCTTTATATATTCGTTTTGGGTTTGTTCCGGGGATAGGTTTGCAAAATATGATTTGGGATTGCCTTTGTATACACTTAATATATGAATATGATTGATTCCATACGCCGAGCCAATCTATAAAGGATTTTTTAAAAAAAAATTATTATTATTCAATTTTTTTCCCAATAAATTTCAATACTCTCCTTATTGACTAAAAACTCATTTTTTATTAATTTAATATATGGGTAAATCTTCGTATAACGTGAGTAGTTAAGTTATTCCCCTTGCACCATATGATAAGAAAATTACACCATATGATAAGAAAATTACAAAGTCAAAGGTTAGTTATACATGTATAATTCAAATCTAAATGAATTTTAATTATAGAATTCATTTGTTTATTTCATTTCCTTAAATTTTTTTTTAAAAGATTAATGAAAAATATATAAAATATTCATTTTATTTTACCGAACAAGTAATATACATATATTTATAGATTTAGTTGGCAATAATATGTTGTGTCTTGACAAGGTAAGCACCTACATCCTTGACAACAGTAAGCAGAATATCCAGGTAGTTATTTGGGGTAGATCATCAGCCTTTAGTTTTTCATAATCAACTGTAATTTTGACAGAGCCTCCCTCTCCTCTTGGGATAGCCTGTATAGTAGCTTTAGAGCTCTTGTATTTCTCCAGAACATGTCCTTCCGTTGCAGTAAATATTTTGCTCTTATTTGCCTCATCAATCGCCATCTTCTCCTTGAAATTCCCAGGATTCCCATCGGCGTACAATGTACATCAACTCGAAACCTAATTGTAAGTACGTTAGGTCGGAAAAACAAAATGGATAGATCAATAAAACAAAATGCATAATTACAATGGCCAATCAATTTAACAAAATCTCTTACATACCACATAATATGTGCTTTGCAAGCACTCAACGAGTGATATAAAGTAAAACTCTACAATAATAACAATAATGAAGGCCGGTGGACGATGAGCTGCAAATTGCAAATCAATATATATACTATTGCCGAATCTCACGGATTTTATACCTCCCGTATTATAACCCAGTGAGGATCCGAGGTCAGGGGTCGATCGCTCTCTGTCGTCTCTTCTACACACCCGTGTTCGCATTCGCGCTCTACATACATGGCACCCGGATGAGGTCAGCAAAGATCAGCAGCCTCCTCCCTTTCCTTGCCAGGCTGACCACGCTCTCTTAAGCTATGTCTTTGATCTTTCTCAATGCTGTCTACAACCAGCCCTCACTGTTAACGCAAGGCCTCTACTCTGCGGCTCCATCTATCAGGAACAAAGGGGTGGTGTTTGTTGTTATATATATATATTATTTTTTTCCTTAGAAAGTACGTGGCATATTCACCTTGGCATTTTAATTTGAACATAGTGAATATTGTGCTGAGCTGAGTATGCTTTCACTTAGTATAGTTGATTTGATATTTAATGTTGTTGTATGATATATTGGTTTTGGTTTGTTGGGTTACTTTCAATTGCCCTATCTTTTCTTGATACTTCGTTGGTTCACGGTTTGGGTTTTGGTTTGATCCATTTATATCATGTTGTATATAACTGTCTGTTGCGTGTGTGAATCCACCGTTGGTGTGCAATGTCAAGATGTTGCTGCCTTGGGAGGTATTTATCTTTGTCTGATGTTGATCTATATCGTTCACTTGGAGTGTGTGTGTGTTATTTTTAAGACACTTTGAGTTTCTTAATCATTATTTGTTGATCTTCTCTAGGTCTGTGATTTGTGTGTTTAGGACTTGCTATTACTAATAGGTTTCTTGTGTTCTATTACAGTGCTCGTTTTTAAAAATGATAAATTTAACGCGCTAACAAACATTTCAATCTTTCACCATAATCCTTCATAAATGTTTATAAGCAACTGGGCGTTTCAGATGACTTTCTAGGAGTATTAATGTGTTTTAATGCTTCATTACTCTTTCGATTCTATTTTGTGCTCTTAGTTCCTCTAGTATATATATGTTCGTCCATTTCTTCTTTTCTCGTTTGTTCTTAAGATCTAGTTGTACGACTATATTCATAGACTTTTTTTTTTTTTTTTTTTTTTTTTGTAAATAGTGTAGTAATTATACTTTTTTAAAATTTTAAATTGTTTACTCTCATAAACACTTTAATTTTCTTTAAATACTATATATATATATATAAGTTGTATCACTATATTCTAATGTATTTTTTGCAAAATCCCTCCTTTTAAATATATTATCCGTTTTTTTCTTAAAAGTTCACAATTTTTTTGCATTTCAACTATTTTCACTAATGGGATAACTAGTTCTTACTCAAACTTTTTTTTTGTCTCCTTTTCTAAAGATTATTTAACATATTCTTATAGTCATAAACTATCAAATACAAATGAAAAGTATGATATAATTGAAAATTTCAATACTAACAGAGATGATTGAAAAATAAAAATGAGGGTATCACAATTGTGGGAGGTGTCTTTCAACAATAATGGAGATTTTATGAGTACAGAGATGATATTACTGGATGAGAAGGTTAAGTATAATAATTTACATTTTTATTATTTGCATAACCAATTAAAAATAATGTTATCATTTTAAATATTTATATGTAATCGTTTTTTATATTTCTTATTATAGGAAAACTAAGAATTAATCTTGAATTTACGATTAAAAGTTTTCATTATACAAATTGATTTTTAAAAAAATAAATTGAAATTGGAATTTAATTTCAACAAAATTTAAAAAAAAAAAAAAAAAAAAAAAAAAAAAAAAAAAAAAAAAACCATACCTTTAACTAGTTATTTAATGTATCGGGACCTATAATTAATAGGAGTAGCTCTTAACCCCACAGGGGTTATTGGTATAAGAAGAACCCGAAAAAACAAAAGAAAAAAAGAAACTCCGGCCCATTACATTCAATGGTATGTGAATATGATTCGAATTTCAATTAATTTTTCTTATTAATTTATTATTATTTTTATTAAAAGGGAAGAAGATAAAAAGATTTGAGCATAATAATAATTTAGCTTTATTTAATAATTAATTACAAAACACACACAAATCAACAATATTACAAATAGCAACAGCTCTTCCATAATTTCACATCTCAAATGTATATAAGCAGAAGGCTTTTATTTTATTATTACAAAAGGAAAGGACCCAGTTTAACAGGAACGACAGGTCACTTTGCTAAGATTTAAGGCTTGACAAGGGAAGCATCAATATCCTTGGTCATGCTAACCAGAAAATCTAAGTATATGTGTGGAGCAGGAACATTGTCGTTCAGTTTCTCATATTCAATAGTCACTTTTGCCAGATTACCTTTGAGATGCCATATGCAATTGTAAACCTTATAAATCTCGAACACATCACCTTCCAGTCCAATAAGCTTCACTATTTTGTTTGCTTCATCCAATTCCACCTTCTCTTTGAATACTCCAGGCTTTCCTTCTGCATCAGCAGACATTGAACTTTGACTAATTACGTATAGAAAACAGCAAAATGTGAATTAATATTGGAAGAGCATATTTTCATTATCAGAATAAAAAAGAAAACCATTAAAGGATTCCACAGAAATGGGGATACATATATATTCGGATACCTATAGTGTAGTCCCAAATCTTGATACAACCTGAAGTCTCCCAATCACCTTCATGGAGTTTAACTCCTTGAACATTGGAAGGAGTGTGATTGGGAACCTGTTGGGCATCATTCTTCCAGACGCTGAAGAACTGTTCAGGACTGCATTTGAGTTGTACCTCAGCCTCCAATTGACCTTTCAAATCATCAGCCATTTTTATTTTCTTTTCTTCAATGAATGCGTTGCTATAACTTGTATTTGCGCTATATGCAATCTTGATTTGGTTACCTTGTCTTTATATAGACTTTTTAATCGAATATTTAATTGACGCTGAAGAACTGTTCAGGACTGCATTTGAGTTGTACCTCAGCCTCCAATTGACCTTTCAAATCATCAGCCATTTTTATTTTCTTTTCTTCAATGAATGCGTTGCTATAACTTGTATTTGCGCTATATGCAATCTTGATTTGGTTACCTTGTCTTTATATAGACTTTTTAATCGAATATTTAATTTTAACTTTTTTATTTTTTTTTCTGATTTCAATATCCTACCGAAACAATTTTCCAGACAAGACATCCTCCAATCATAGCTTGATTTGTTGAGATTTAGACTTTAGAAATCACATGATTCACATTATTGATAAACAGTAGCATAGGATCATATATATGAACAAAAAATAAATAATATAATAAAAATAATATTAAATCATATGCAGGTGGAGCAGTGCCAGTGAGGGTGATAATATTGTCTCATTCGAATTCTTTTTTTTTTCCCCCCTTCGTTTTCAAGCCAAAAAAGGCTTTTTATTAAAGAAGAATAAAGGAGTTAGTTTTTGTTGCATATCCAAGAGATGGGAATCCCCATCAAAAAATATGGACATTAAACTTTTTTTTTTTTTAAATACTGTGATACAATGATATTGTTAAGCGGAATATATTCATTTAATTTAATTACAATCCAACAGTGAAGAATGAGATGTCTCGTTTAATTAGAAGTCTATGCCATCAGGCTTGGCTACTAAGAAATGTAATTTGATTAAATAATAAATTTTTTTTTTTTCGGTCAATAATAAGTAGATAAAATAATTGTTTTTTTATCTAAATTGAATATGCAGTTTTCTTCCTACTCCATCTATAAAAATAACAATTAGGATTACAATGGCCAATCAATTTAACAAAATCTCTTCTATACTATATAATGTATAACATGTCCTTCCACTCAACAAGTAAGATTATATATTATATTTAATAGATATCATGTTAAATAAAATATTTTTAAAAATAAACTATATAATAAAAACAATAATGTGGAGGCAGGTGGATATCCCAGCTGCAAATTGTTCAATGCATGAGGACCTGCCAATGACCCTTAGGTTGTGGTATCCATGACCAAGAAAACCTTCCGAGTTCTATTTCTATCCCTCTCAAAAAATTACCACCTCTATTCTATAATACCTCTATTTCATAATAATTGTTACATTTAAAATTTTACAGTAGTCACATTTAAAATTTATCATTTCTTGAGAAAACCATTAAATTGAAATAATAAGTATCGATCAAATATAAAAGATAAACATAGAAAAAAATATTTATTGCTCCAAATGTGATAAGTATTTTAAAATAAATTATTTTCTCCAAATGCGACAAGTATTATGACTACTTATGAACCAGAGGTAGTATTTTGATAACCCGAAACATAATATTTACAGAATCTATTATCATGGGACGTACTGAAAAAGAGAGTAATTAAAACTGCTGCTAAATGAGATATGATCAACAATTACATAACCAATAATTCACGTTTTTCTCTTCTAATATTTTCCACAGCTGTTTAATGTTGCTTGCAATATAAAAAAATAAATAAACAACCAAACTACCGACATAAAAATTTTTTTTCCTTAACCAAACACCATTATTGCATATAAAATATACTATATTCAACATCTGCTCGATACTTAAGCTTCATTGAAGAACAAGTTGATAAATCGTTAGGTCATTAATTATCAATAATTCAAGACCTATTTGCTAAAGGACCCTACTTCTGAAATTCAGGTGGTGTACCCATATAATCAGCCATAATTCTGATAATTAAGTCTCTCAAACCCCCGCCCGCCCTGCTTACAAGAAGGGGGATGAGGTAGGGAAGGTTAGGAAAGTGTTGATCTCTGATCACTTGAAGGTACAGTAGGAGTCTTTTACATAGAACTAGCAGGTGAATCAAAAAAAAATATATGCCAAAGCTTTTTCTCTTATGTATATCTTCTGCTGTATATATGACTATTATTCACAAATATTACATGGCAAGGCCTTACTTTGGGCCTCGAGAATACATCAAAATTAAGACTTATTTTTGGTGCTATATAATTACATGATTCAGTTAAAAATAATCAGTTCAAAGAAGAAAGGGATGGGGCATGCCTTACTTCTTCAATATATCATTAACATCCTTTCTAGAATGGATGGGAATTGGAGAGGTAAAGAAACCATTTTGCTTATCTGAAACCAGAAGCTGATCAACATTTTTAGATCTCTCTTTATCTTCAGAAGACCCGCCAGGGGAAGACGATCCAAATATCTGAACTGTCAGGCTTCCAACTGCAAGATTGCAAGTAGCTTTAACTTCATATAAGCGAAATCACCAATCAATAAATCATAAGCAGCAAGAGACGCCTAGCAATTTGAGAGCAGAATTATTTGTCCTCGTTCAAGATTTTGAGGAGCCAACAACTGCATAATAATGAAGCTAAAATTTCCTAAGACTAAGTTACCTTTTCTATGGCTTCAATTATATATTTCTGTAAGTTGAACATAACATCACGATAGATCCTATGGTTTTCTTAATTATTTCTAAAAATGTCAAGTTCATAATTTGATTAAGAAGTCTATTTTATAGACTTTAGGTCACATCCTTCTCATAAAAAGAGAGAAGAAAGGGGAAAAACCAGACAGTACGCAAAATAAAAGAAACGAGTACATGGCAGAAATGCACCGATTAAATTATGAATGAACCAAAATGTTGTTTTCAGAAGACTGTGAACAGCTCTACAACAAAAGAAAGTTTGGCAATCACCAAAGAGAAATTGAAAGAAGAATAACCAGAGGATATAAACTTGATTACCAAGCACAAGAGCAGCCCCAATCCAACCAGCAGCACCCCATCTTTCACCAAGGAGAAACCATGCAAAACCAGCACCCCACACTGGTTCCAGCCCATAAATTATTGCAGTTTCTGTCGCCGATATGTCACACATGGCAACCATCTGTACAATCAGTAAATTCTGGTTAGCAAGCTACAAAATTCTAGGGAGAAGAAAAAGTAAAAAAAAAAAAAAAAAAAAAAAAACACATGGCACACCATGTGTACAAATCAGTAATTCTTTGGTTGAGCAAGCTACAAAATTCTAGGGGAGGAAGAAAAAGTAAAAAAAAAAAAAAAAAAAAAGAAAAGGCTTAATTTTCCTTTAAAAAAAAAAAAAAAAAAAAAAAAGAAAAGCTTAAATTTTCCTTTATTTAAGAGGACCATATAAAACAGGAAATCTCTCAACATCATATTGAAGCCTTTTAGTTTAGATCCATGTGTTCATCAGTCTGTGCATAAGATAGGCTCATTAACAGCTCTCATATCAAAGGTGAAATAATGGTAGGTAAATGAATTAAAGCCACTAAGCATCTATGTACCGATTATTATCATAACTTGCAAACTTGGGGTAATAGCAAGCATAAGATGGAAATGGCCAAAAGGACCTAATTTTGAAACTTTATATCGGCTGCAATTAGTCAAGAGCCAAATCATAATTATTATTAGCATCACACTTTAAACCCCTCCCATCACTTTTCAGCAACTTTATTCATCTTTCCTCTAGGTTTTTTGCATAAGCAATTTCCTACTTGACTTGGGCATGAAATGCATATAATATTAGTTTCCTATACTCTTGATCATGTTCTTTTATTAGCAAACTGTTTCATATCGTCCAAGTACAACCTTCTTTCCATGGCTCACTACATGTAACCACAACCTATGTTTAAGACCAACAATTTTGCATTTCACTGGCTTCTCTTGTTCTCCTGTTTGAAAAAAGTCAAGTGGCAGAATGAAAATGTTGCAGAAAGAAACTAATATAAGGAGCTATTACTCTTTGAAATTAATGTTTTTCTCAAAACAGTGACAAAAGGTATGAAGAATACCTCTATCCATAAGCATAACCCAGTAGAGAATAGTCCTGTATAAAGTGCAGGTATCCATGGAAAAGAAACCATCCAATGCAAAATCATTGTCCATGTCCAGGATGACGGGTTGCACTCTTGGATGCCAGCAAACTGACCTCCAAATAAATACCATATTGTTGAGAAGAGAGCAACAACACATACCTAAATAGAGACCCCAAGATTGTTCAAACCATTCATGAAGATAAGCAGGCTGCATTCTGCTTTACAAGGACTTATGATTAATTCACATACCTCATATCCAAGGACTGGTAAGAATTTCTTTTTGCTTGTGCTTCTTGATATATGTTCAGTTCTAAGCATATGGACACCAAAAAACACAGCACTTAAGAAGTTCAATAGATCTCCAATCTGAAAAAGTGCAGTAGATCCATATACACATGGAAATAAGGCATCATCATATAATTTGAAATTTCAAACAGCAGCAAATACTTTATGTAAATGGAAAAAAAACTAATAAACAACACAGATAGGACTTACGCTAGGAGGAGAACCACTGGATTCAAGCATTGCAACTCCTATGATGGAAATGAGAGCTCCAAACCAGGTACGGGCAGGAACTACTGCTCCTAACATGCCATCAAGCAATGGAACGACAATTACCTGATAATTTGCCCAAAATATGCCAAAAATTGTACCTTCAGGTACTTTCACAGAGCAAGAACCTCTACTTGATATATCTAGAGATTGATCAAGAAACTTACAGTGAACATAGATAAAAAGGATGCACGTCCAGCATCTGATGTCATCAGTCCAAGTGCCTGCATTAGGTATCCTAAACTAACCCAGAAACCCAACTCTATCCCTGCATTACGGGTTTGTACATCTCCCCGAGCTTGAAATACAAACGGGATGAATGGAATAGCTGATACGGCAAATCGTACAAAAGTAAAGGTTGCCGGATCCATGCCAGCCTGAATTTGTTTGACAACTGGAATGCTGCTAGCTATAACATGAAAATAAAACAAAGTTAAAATTGAGATGAAACATTGTTCTGCAGTAAATTACTAAGTAATGAATGTGTTACTATGTTGTATTTCCTTTTTATTCTCCATCACCTGTCTACATAGGATATATGATGAATCAAAACAAAATAAGAATTGTATTTGCTACTTTATCTTTGATATTTTCAGTGCTTATTGTACTAACATCATGTTACTAATGTAGAGTACGTCATGAATCATGAAAACTGCTTTATTCATAACATTTTTTTTTTTATGATATTACTGAACTACTTTATCAATATAACTTCCCTTCATCTTGTTGGGTTATCCCACATCGGTTGTGGAAGGGGCTGGTGATCAAATTATAAGTGTGAGGGAAAGCCTCACCTCTTGAGCTAGCTTTTGTGAGGGAAAGGCCTCACCTCTTGAGCTAGCTTTTGGGGTTGAGAAGGCCTTAAAATCACCTATCTTTGTGTATCAGAAGCCCAGGTTACCAGCAATCTCAGACCTCCCAGTTTCCGGAGAGTACGGGTTGTTGCTCCTCCGACCCATGGCCCGATGTGTGAGGGGAGATTGTTGGGTTAATCCCACATCGGTTGTGGAAGGGGCTGTGATCAAAATTATAAGTGTGAAAATTGATATTTTGTGATATTTATCGATGACCATTCTAGGAAGACCTGGGTATACACATTGAAGTAACCTGGTTCAGAGACAGACAGGCAAGAAGCTGAAGTGTATCAGGACAAATAATGGTGGAGAATACACTGGGCCATTTGATGTTTTCTACAAAGAGCATAGTATTCGACATCAAACGACACTTCCCAAGACGCAACAACTGAACAGTTTGGCGGAGAGGATGAACAGAACTTTGATGGAGAGAGTCAGATGTTTACTCTCATATGCAAAGTTGTCTAAAAGATTTTGGGGTGAAGCGTTACCCACAGCAGTTCGCCGTTCACTCTGTTTCCCTCTATAGTATGATACTCCAGAGAGAGTATGGTTAGGAAAGGATGTTTCCTATGATCATTTGCGGTTGCGTGTGGTGTTTTGGTTGCAAAGCCTTCGTGCATATCCCGAAGGACTGAACGGTCTAAACTTGATGTTTAAGACTTAGAGATTAAAGAGGAGAAAGTGGAACCCCAAAATATAATGGTTCAAAACCAACCCATTAGTACTAGGCCTTTTGGGAGGAATCCCAACAAACCTCCCCTCCAAGCCAAGACCACACAAATCGTGACTCCCCTACCAAGGGATAATCTGGCCCACCATCTTGTACCGCCGCTACAAACATTTGCGGGACACGCCGCCCGACCTCCTCTTGTCGGGAAAGACTTTCGACACAAGGACCACTTGCAGATCTTCTTCTGGTCTTGTCCTGTTGTACAACGTCACACCGAGGATTTTCTCACATCTGCGCAGTTCACACCCACTCCGAACCAGGGCTCTGATACACTTTGATAGGACCGCGCGACCATCCAACCCCGATGATACCACTTTGATAGGACCGCGCGTACCATCCAACCCCGAATTAGTATGATATTGTCCGCTTTGGGCCAAGCCCTCACGGATTTATTTTTGGGCACCTCCTGCAGATCTTTTTCTTTTCCAATTTATTTTCCTTTCAAATTTACTGTGGGTCCCACTTGAGTGGGCACCGCACAACACATCTACTCATTGATTCTCATTTAGCAAATACTATCCACACCCACCGATAAAAAATTCTAAGACTATCCAGTTCTGTTGTGCAATACTTCTTATTTTCTTTCCTGCATATGTGCATTGGCAGCTCCTTTGGTATAGAGTGAAGTTTCTTAAAGAATGACCACCCAATCTGATTTTACATAACATTCCACATTGAAAGCTTAATTTCTTCACTATTGCAGTATAATGTTATTCTCAGAGAAATAGCCTGAAATTGATACATCTCCTTATTGATTTAACCATTTCATTACAAGGCCTATACATGCATACCGTTTTTACCAAAATGAAACCAAATATTTTGTAGTTTCGTTTTCATAATAATTTTCTAAGCAATCAAACAGAAAATTAGCAAAATTTAAAAATTTGAAGGGGAGAAAAAGTCAATTAACTTACCATAGATAAAAGTCATGACATTAAGCAAAATGATGCTCCTAACTTTCCTCGATGAGGACACTATCTTCCACCAAACTGATTTCCTCCCAAACAAGGCCTTTAAAATTGGGGTCGTTTTCTTTCCCTTTGGTCCATTTCGATTTGGATTCCCGGAGCCCGAATTAAATCCGCTCCCTTTACCCGAAGCGGAATTACACAAATTTGTCGATTTTCTTACTTCATCACCCGAATCAGAACTACAAAATGAAGAAGGCGCAGAGAAGCAAGGATGGCGGAAAGAAGTGGTGACACGGTGTCGTTTTAAGGAAGATAAATCGACTTTGAAAAAGATGGGAGAGTTTTTAGTTGTTGATACATAGTAATAACTGGTGGTGTTTAATGGCCATTTACACGGTGGTAGAGAGGCCATTAGCGAATGTTAGAGGTCTTACTGCCCTCTTGCTCTTTATATAACTAGATTTTCCTTCTTCACAAACTTTTCCATTCAATTTTTGTGCTCTTTTCCGACTCCACGCTCCCTGTTAAAAAAACAGCCATCAAATCCTAACAAGAGTTTCAGCGAGAATATGCAAGTCTCCTTCCTTAAACCAAGCATCATTGGATGAGACCGAGTTACATAGTGGGCTAGCTTCACACGCTGGATTATGGGCCTCACCGCAATTCGTAGATAAACGCTATTCTTGAGTCTTGACTACCTCTAGCTGCCACACGTGAGATCCGGATCGTCTTGGTATCTATTATCTGTTGAAATCGTGGTCGAATGACTGCATGATAATAATATAGTAAATAATTAAAAAAATATCCTTTCTAAGTTGTTTTTGGCTGCGTCCTAAACTACATGTGACGGAATCTGTGGTTAGCGTCCCATGATGATGTATCTCCTGAAGGTTTACTTTTAGCACCCCACGTGGCAGCGTCCTAAATCAATGAAGCAACGCAATGAAATCCTGCCACGTACGGAAACTTTTCTCTCTTGACAAAACTTATTTCAAAACCTGACAGGGCCCAGAGTTGAGCCTTAGTTGGGCCTCAAATCAAGTTGGTTGGGCCCTATGTTTCCTTATGGGCCACCTCTAACTCCTGGAATGGAACTCAGTTTGGAAGAACTAAAATAGCAGAAATTTAAGTTTTAGTCATCTTAAATGCTTTCCTAAGGAATAGTCAAATGGAAGGAAATAACTCATAAATATCAATAATTATCATTATATAATACATCCTCGTCCCAAAAAAATTAGCCATTTTTTATTTTTATATAGATTAAGAAAATAATAATTATTAAGGTTAAAAGACAATTTTATTCATATAACTTTCCTATTATGCTCATCTTAAATAATATAGGAGCAATTATTATATGAAAATAATAAGATTTAATGAGGGTTGTTGAAAATCAGATAAACTTAACGAGGGTATAATAGACAATTTAAGGATTAACTATAATTCAAAAAATGAAGTGGACTATATTTTGGAATAAACCAAAAAAGAAATATGTATTATCTTTTTGGGACAGAGAGTAAAAAATATAGATATAGTTGTAATTAATATTGACCCTCTTGTTCTCTTTTACTGTATTCTGTTCCTATTTTTTTCCCTCAGTCGCAAATTTAGTTACTCAGGTTTCATTCCATGCCTCGATTTCAGGAAAGGAAAAAAAAAAAAAAAAAAAAAAAAAAGAAACAGCCAAAGTATGGAAAATTCATTGTGGGGTTCAAAACATTTAACGTTAGTCACAGTTGAGAACCAAATTTATTGGCCACTATGTTCTTGTGCTTCCTTGTCCATGTTCTTATTTCCAGACATAAACCTAATAGTTATATGTCACTCTGCCACTAATTTGTTTTCTATACCCACCAAACACATCATCATATGGTTTATCTAACATTGAATCACCATCATGTTAGACATATATAATAAAGGTTTCGTCCATTATTCTTCATCAGGTATGTGTATAATACCATGTGATATATTGTAGAGAATAAGAAATAATTAAACTACAGTTGGAAGAAATTTTAATTTCCAAGCCAGAATTTTCGTGCGTTAATTAATGATCCTGAGGCACTATATTGAATGGTGTGAGATGAATATAGTAGTGCCAAATTATTGTCAGAAATATATGCCCAGAAAAGGTCACTGAGACAAGCTATCTGGGGATGCTAATGAGAATGAATGCTTGATGGGTAACGTAAAAATAAAATGTGGGAATGGACCTCTTAGCTCAGGAAGCACCAAAACATTACCTCTCTGTATTACCTATAATTTAGCCCTGAAATCTCTTGGGTCAGATTGATAACAGAAATAGAATGGAATGTGGACCCCTTAGATTATTAAATTTTGAAAGCCATTTAGAAAAAAAAAAAAAGAAAAAAAAAAAATTATTTATATACTTTCATACATACTAATTATTATGAAACAAAATTATTTTACATGATCTTTATAAAATTTTTCTTGCAATATAATAATGATCAAGATATATTCTTAAACTTTCCTTTACATTTGATTTTTATCTATAATTAAATTATTTATATAGTTAATATAACTAGAATCCAACCTTCACTAAAATATAAAAATCGATACTAGTTTCAAACTTTTTTTGTTTCCAATTTTTATTTCATAGTGCATCAGTCAATATTATTTTTTGGTTGATGCGTCCTTTATTGTATCAAAAATTAGTACACTCCCATCTCAAGATATAAAAAATTTTGTACAAAAATTAAAAAAAAAATTAATTTTCTAAATTATACAAAATCAAAAATAATTTAATCAATTACACTTTACCTCTTTTATTATTCTATCTCACGTCATATAATAAATATTAAAAGATAAATTTTCAAAAAAAAGGTCATTTATTACTTTTTTTAAATATTTTAAAAAACATTACTTATATTTTTAAGATAAAATAATATATCTTAGAACTGAATTATAAACTAGGTAGATAGGGTTTTGCAAAGCCTTTTCTATTTCACATTTACATGTTCACTTTGTCACATCAAATTCTTTGACAAAGGAAAACCAAAATTGGAATGTTAGATTTGAGACAAAACCCATTATAAGAAATTACCAAAATATAGTTGAGTGCAGAATGAACGTGACCCACATTAATTAACATTAATAGAACCTCTTAATAGTTGGTTGATCATGCATATATAAAAAAGTATAAGTTATGAAATTTAGGAATCCAACTGTGGATTGCCATAGTGGGGCCTTTTTAGATTCATAATTTCTTGTAGGCTGGTGATAATAGAGAAATGGTAATGATCATAATGCCAAAAGCTAGAGCAAAGGCCGTTGCCAGCAAGAGAGAGTGGGGTTTGGTGGGTGGAAGCAATAAACAAGATTTTAATTTGATGGAGTGACCAAGAGAGAGAAGAGGTAGTTGCAGTCTCATCAAAACCTCTTTTAACTCGCACATTTAAGATGCTTTGCTTGCTCTGATTCATAATGCTTCCTAGTCAAACATTCAACTCTAGGGGAAAAAAAAAATATATACTCTCTCCGTGATTAATTTTTATAATATTCACCAAGAATATAATATTAATTTCTTCACATATCTCTGTTATACTTAAATCCCATAGAATCTTTTGAACTTATCAAAAACTTACATTAGAGAAGAAATATCCTTTTCCTTTCTCAAGCCATCTCTTAGTTTAACTTATTTATTAGATCTTAAAAAAGACAAAACTATTCCAATGAGTTTCATGGGATTTTTTATAATAGATCTTACCTTGAAACTTGAACAGTTTATTTTTGTCCGTAGGTAACTCTGAGACTAATATATATATATATATATATATATAAATATGGAATGATGGGGTATTCTTGTCATTTTGATTAAAGAATTAATTGTCGTCCTAAAATTAAAATTACCTTCAGGTAGAGACCATTATTTGTTTAGGGTTTTTTCAGCATGAAAATTTTTGAAATTGTTTTAAAAAATCAGGTTCCTGCAATATCGCTGCACATCTCTACTAGACATGCTACTATTAGAATTGGGAGTGCCCAAAGGATAAAATGCACGCATGAAATGAACTAGTTTTAGTAATAAATTAGAGGTCTAAAGATTTCTTTTCTTTTCTGAGAAAAATTAATGGTGGAGTATGTCAGGAAAAGATTTTGTCCTAGAGCTCGATGTATGGAATCCATCTATTATCAAAATCAATTATAAGAAAATAACAGTTTGATTCAAATAAGAAATTTTTTTTTTTTACTGTTAGGCAAGAAATTTCCTATTGTTCTCGTAGAGCTTGAGAAGAGTGTTGGCCCAGCAAGGACAGGCATTACTCTTTGAGAAAAAATATGGATTGCATTTAAGTCACAAAAACATCACATGTGAAATTGGGACTTCTAGAATAAAATCAATCAAAAGAGTCCTTCACCCTCACACTCTCAGCCAATATTAAACCACGTCTCAGTCTCAGGTCTCAGGTCTCTGTCCTGTGCCTTAGCCTCTGCATGATGATTATTTAGTATTGGTTATTGTATGGGCGTGGAGAGTTGCCTAGCTGATTATGATCATAGAAAGGGTGATGAGGATGCTGGTGATGTTGAATTATTAATAGCTAGGGTTTAGTTAGGAATGGACATTTATTACGAAGTAATTGCAGTGAATCTATTATAGTGTAAAGTTACCCAATTAGAAATAAACAATTATAGTAAATGTTGTATATATAGCTAAGTTGCAATTCAAACCTAGAACCTGATAATTGCAATCTTTCCTCAAGTTCGACCACTTTCAACCTTTATTCCCTTTTGGGGACTTTAAATCCAAGATGGATTAATTAAATTTTTAAAACTTGGAAATTCTTTCTTAGCTGTTGCAACTGGAGAAAAGATTCCCGAAAGGAAAAGCCCTACAAAGCTGCAAATGCCTGAAGGAGATTAATGAGAAGAACTTTTCAATTGGGAAGATAAAGAAAATGCCCGCTGCATGAAAGAATTATAACAGCCATGCATAGCATTGGACATGTGAATGTAAAGCATATGTATATAATGAATATCAAATTTCTGAATAATTTTTAGGGGCTTTGTTTAGTTATTTAAATAGAGAGCTTAATTTAAAATTAAGAGAAAAGGGAAGGAATTATAGTAACAAAGAGGAGGGAAGAAAAGAAGAAGAATTCAAAGTTGAAATGATATATTAAGCAAAATAGCAGTGGCAAAGTTGATGATAAGAGTAACTACAGCATTAAATCGAACAAAAAGCATATAGAGTGTACAGCAGAGAGAAAAGCACTGCAAAAAACAAGAGCATTAACGCTTAGCCCCCCTTTTTCCTTTCTTTCTCTCTAATTCTCACTCTCGTTACACTTTCCCAGGACCCATAAACCTCATTAAAAACATAACTGAAAAAGCTAGCAAGCCAATTCTCTCTTCTATCTCTCTCTCTCTCTCTCTCTCTCTCTTCTTCTCTCTAATATTGCTGAACTACAGAAAATAGTAATATAATAGCTTATCAACTCTTTTTAATTTCTAGCCATTAAAAACATTAGGTAGTAATGAATTAACATACACGAGATAACCACCGAAGTTCTAGTTGTGAGAGGATTTGGACCTGTATGAATTATCCTCTTATCGTTTTCCGTATGTTAAGATCTCGCATCAGCATCCTTTCGTGTTTGAGAGAGAAGAAGAGGACTTGACAACTGGGTTTGGAGGAAGGAACAATGAAACGATGTGTTTTTGATGTATCTCCAACAACTGAGTTTTCTG